GGCAAACAGCAGCGACTGACCAGTCCGCCGAGTGCCGTGGGTGAAACCAAGGGGCATATTTACTTGCCCACACCAAAGTTGACCTCAAAGGGTACAGAGACCACGCAAACCCGCCAGCGGCCAACGTTTGAAACATTGATTTTAGTCAGCAACCATCAGGCAGGTTAAAATTCGCGCATCCAGCACGGATACACGGAGGCAGATGCCAAGACTGGTTAAATCAGGACCAGCAAGCGCAACCACTTCAATACTTTAAAGACGGAAGCGAGAAGGACTCCGAAACCTCAGTGTAAATATACTTTGGTGCACGAACCCAGCCTTCATTGATGTTATTCTCTGGGAGATGATGAAGACCATACCTTATTGTTTAGTTAGTCTGCGTACTGACCTGCTGTGTCACAGGGCTTGGAGGAATTGCTTAGCAGCAGGTATTGACATGGGCAACCGCAAGATAGAAGAGAACAGGTGGTAAAAGATCTACAAGAAATCATCAACTGGCTCTGAAATCTAATTCAAACTGCAGACGCTTAGAGGCGAGAAATCAAGCAATCGTAACTTATTACGTGTACACCAGACTTCAATAAAGAAAATCGAATGCCAATGCAAACACGCAAACCGTAGAAAATATCCATCAATGAAAATCCTATTTGACATATATCAGCGAGGTTTGGCAGGTTTGCTCAAGTCAATAGATGAGAATATACGAGTTCCAGACAGCAGTTCAGAAGAAGAAGATGCAATCACTGGAACAAGAACTTTATTTTCCTGTTTTTCGGATTCCGTCGGGAATCCTTAGTCATAGGTTATCGTAAACAGGTCTGAGACATGCGCAGATAAGGAGTAACACATGCACAGATTGCACGGTATTTATAGTTCACAGCGGTCACCCGCGTGCGTACTATAATTGTCAGTTCCTATAGCCACCACTGGAGATCTTAATTGGTGCAATGTTTGGACAAGAACGCCGTGACAATCAATGAGCAATCACCGCACCGATTAAGATCTCCGGTGGTGGCCACAAAAACT